TGTAAGTAATGATTTTGCACCCCATTTGGCATCCCAAAATGTTTATATCTTTTCACCTGTCAAAATTCCAGAAGCACTAAACTGCTTGTAATTTCTTACACTTATCCTGCCATTTTTACCCTATGTGGCACTATATGTCCTCTCTTCATAAAGTAGCCACCCCTTTTACCTCTACCCCTTCACCTGGTTAACAACACTTAATTGTCAAATTTAATTTGGAGGTCACCTCTAAGATTCTCTCCTTGACTAAACTTTGATCAGGCTCCTGTAAGCTGTCTAGGTCTCAACCTTGGCAGCAGTCTTTACTGGGCTTGCATCACCCAGTTTTAGCAAGAATCTTGCTCAGTGGGTTTAGAAAGAATACCCTACTCTTGATATTCAATCATCCTCAATTACTGAACTCATATTTCCTCTTAGTAATTTTCCATCCTCTGATTCCCATTCTGCTCATTGTCTATAAATCCCTGCTTGTCCCTGCTATATTGATGAGTGAGCTCAGTTCTCTACCAGAGATTTTCCCCTTATTGCAATAGTATTTATTTATGTATTTATTTATTTGAGATGGAGTTTCACTCTTGTTGCCCAGGCTGGAGTGCAATGGCATGATCTTGGCTCACTGCAACCTCCACCTCCTGGCTTCAAGCGATTCTCCTGTCTCAGTCTCCTGAGTAGCTGGGATTACAGGCAACCGCCACCATGCCCTGATAATTTTGTATGTTTTACTAGAGGCAGGGTTTCTCCATGTTGGCCAAGCTGGTCGCGAACTCCTGACCTCAGACGATCCACCCACCTCAACCTCCCAAAATACTGGGATTACAGGCGTGAGCCACCGTGCCCAGCCTGCAGTAGTTTTTAATAATAAAATGTATCTGCACTCCTTTAACTTCTGTGTGGCCCTGGTTTTGTTTAACATCCTTTTCATGAAGTCTCTGACTTTCCAGGATTTTAAGGTATGTTTCCTCTATGCCAATTCACTATTTGTGTTTTAGTCATTCCTTTTATAATTCATCAGAAATTTCTGATTACAGGTTTAACACATGTAATAGCCTGCAAAAACATTCAGAACATTAATGTTATCTTATTTTTGTGTCTCTGAAATCTAGCTTATTCCCAGTACATAGTAGGTATTCAATAAATGTCTGTTGAATTACTATGGGCTTGTTCTTTGAGCCATGTTTCCTTTGTTCTTCTCCAGTGAAGAACTGGCATGTATTAATGTCACTAGGAAAAGGGGCTATATCAACCACTTTTTATAGTTACCTATTTGCTTTTCAAACTTTTCTATTTCAACCCACATGTGTAAATGTATACCATTTAACACTCCTTATTGAAGTTATCTTCTGACTAAAACAGAACTTTAAGATTAAAAGGTGAGGGAAGAGAAATAACTTAGTCAAGGAAGAGAACAGAACCTGCAATGGGTTTGTTTTCAAGCTAGCTTACCACTGAAGAATGAAACTGATTTATACTAGAGAAATCTGGCAAGCAAAGATGAGTTACACCTACTGAAGAAGTGAGGTAGCTGGTCTCTCATTGTTTAAGAGCTTTAGGGAGAAGAAGGGCCTAATTTCTCAGCCCTTCTGACCTACCTTACAGGTAACAAAGCAGGCTCCAGAAGCTAGGAAAAACCCTCAAACTAATAATGTGCAAAAGATGGCAGTTAAAAGTTGAAACAAAAAGGCTGATCATTGGTAAGGGAAACGGGGTGGGACAAGATAATGCAGGGTCGGCTGCAGTAAACTGCAATTATAACACCCTGGCTTCACATTTCTTTCTTTTTTTCTTTATCTTTATCTTTTTCTTGTTCTTTTTTTTTTTTTTTTTTTTTTTTTTTTTTTTCTTTTTTTTTTTTTTTTTTTTTTTTTTTTTTTTTTTTTTTTTTTTTTTGATGTCTTGAGTTTTGCTTCCCTTTGCCTGCACCCTACATCAGTCACCAATAATTAAGCTAAAAGTTCGTTTCTGTCATTGACCATATGTTTTCTGCTTTTGAGGTAAGTATTTCAGTACTTCACTTCTAAAAGTAATTTCTTATCCTTCTGATATGCTTGTTCATTTCTATAAGATACATTCCTAGCTTCACAGTGATCTGCAGTCCCTGATGTTCACTTTAACCAGCTGTCTTGCAGCTTTGATTCTGTCACTGTGACACTGGCAACTTATGCAGCATCATTTCCTTTACTTTATTGCTCTTTGGTTTCGTATACTTTCCAAATGCCCAATCATGATAATTTTAAACGTATTTCTTAGAAACCATATCCTGCTGCTGAATGATGCAAAAGAAAATCTTCTAACACTGCAGAGTTGTGTCATTAGAGATTTACGATTTACTCATAACTATGCCCTCCATACTATTCTGCAATCTTATTACACATATTTAATGATTAACATTTCCCATCTCCCTCAAAAGCTATTTGAAACTTGTATTTCCTTAGGCTCTAAATAATTCCTCTTTTCTGTCTTTTTCTCAGCTATTAAGCTTACTTTATTATTTTCTTTTTCTTCATGAAAAATCAAGACTATTATCTGACTCTTTTGGCTTCTTATTAACCTTTAATGTATCTCTTTATTTCTATCTTTACCTTCTGCTGATAGTTTCCAATGAAGATGTGTTTCTTCTGCTGTCTTAAGACAACTTTGTTATAGCTATTTTCCCCATTCTCTGTTTTGAGGACTTTATCTATCATTTTCCCTAATTTTGTAGAATATTTGATTTATTCTTATGTATTGACTTATAACAATTTACACATGCATAGTACTTTCCCATCTTATAGAAAGTTATAAATAAATGAGAAAAGAATTAAACAATTCTTTGACAATATTGAAACTTATAATAGCTCAGTTTTCTTTTTCTTTGTTTTAAAATACTATACCCTCACCACCTTTACTTTCTTATCTCTTATCCACTATCACCATTTGTTTCTTATATTGCACTAAATTAAGGTGTTTCATGACTCCTTAATTCTAAATCCATGAGTACTTTTATCAGATTAACTTAATATTTTAGAGGCATTTACCATTGTTGCAGAGTTCTTTACTCTCCAAATATTTTCACCCCTGACTCTCATTAAATTATTCTCTTCGAAATTCTTTCATTTTCAGCTATTCCTCAGACTTCTCTAGGAATAATTTAGTTTCATTTGTAGCCCTTTAGAAGTAGGTATTCTCCTTTCCTTATATTCATGGTCCTTTTTTTAGTTTTTTTGTTGTTGTTGTTGTTGTAGTTGTTGTTGTTTTTTGGTTTTTTTGAGACAGTGTCTCACTCTGTTGCTCAGGCTGGAGTGCAGTAGTGCAATCTCCGCAGATTTCTACTCACTACAACTTCTGCCTCACGGATTCAAGTGATTCTCCTGCCTCAGCTTCCCGAATAGCTGGAATTACAGGTGCCTGCCACCATGCCCTACTAATTTTAGCATTTTTAGTAGAGACAGGATTTCACCATGTTAGCCATACTGGTTTCAAACTCCTGACCTCAAGTGATCCACCCACCTCGGCCTCACAAAGTGTGGGATTACAGGCATGAGCCACCATGCCCATAATTCCTGGTACTTTTTATTCATGCATTTTGATTCTACTCACTGACTTTCTCAGTGCATGACTGTTCTGTTACTGACTCCAAAATTTACATCTCCAGCCCAGGTCTTATCAAACACTCAAACTACCTTACAGAGAATTTAAACGTATTATATACAATATGAAGATTATAACTTTTTTCTTTTGGACAATTTCTTTCCTAGTGAATGAGTAACTTAATGTATCAGTTTATATACAAAGGTTCTTGGAGATGACATTTGACTTTTTGTCATCCACTATTCCTTTTTTGGAATTAGTAATTTATTTTTCAATAAATTTTTACTTTATTGTAAAGGTTTAACTATTGTACAGCTCCTATTATGTGCTTTTAGATGCTGATGGTATAAATGAAAACAAGGGCTCTATTCTCTAAGAACAGGCATTGACAACTATGGCCTATGGGCCAAATTTGACGCACAACCTGTTTTACTAATAAAACTTTGTTGAAACATAGTCACACTCATTTTTTTATATATTGTCTATGTATGCTTTTGTACTATAATGGCAGAGTTTAGTATTTATGACATAGCTCATATGGCCCCAAACCTAAAATACATATTTATCTGTTCCTTTACTGAAGAGGATACAATTAGGTTGTATCCTCTGGGATACAGATGTATGATTCCATGGAGAATATATTAGAGACTTGTCTGAGACTGTTTAAAGGAGTAAAGTAAAGAAGCTGTCACTAGAGGCCAAGTGAAAGATAAGGAGATCCTGAATTACTGCAGTGAGAATTGCACTGGAAAGTATATATAGTCAAGAAATATTTGCTAAATAAAATTAATTGGATTTCATCACTAATTGGTTATAGTGGTGAGGCTGGAAAAAGTAGGAACTAAGCATGTATCTCAATTTTCTTATTTTGGTGGTTAGGTAGAAAGAGATTCCAGCAAATAAAAAGGTAAAAAAAGCAACATAGTGAGGTCTACTACTACTACTACTACTACTACTGCAACTGGAGGAGCAATTGCAGCATCACGTATACAAGTTTGAGTCTTAAGGACACTGAGCAAAGCTCATACTAAAGGCATTGATGGACTTTTTGAGTACATAAGTGTTTCTGTAGTTTTTTTATGAATAAAAACTTTCTTAAGTATTTTAATCATATTCACTTGCTTGATCATTTTGTCATTCTTTATAAGATAGATTTCAATTAATGCTGTGTGGCTAATAGAAATTTACTGCATAACTGTAATCATGACAAATAATGAGGAATCACAGGGACAGTGTGTTTAAGAAAGGAAAATAGACTTGATAGAATAATACCTGGAGTACCCTTCAGGATTTGACACTCACTTGATACATAATGTTTGGCATGAAACTGGGTCTTGGTCCCTCACATGAGAAGAAGAATTATAGCAATAATATCAGTGGATGTAAAAACCATATAAAATACTATATGGAAAGCGCTTTGAAAATCATAAACTGTGCTCGCTTCGGCAGCACATATACTAAAATTGGAACGATACAGAGAAGATTAGCATGGCCCCTGCGCAAGGAAAATCATAAACTGCTATGAGAATGTGAACTATCATTATTGTAACCAAATTAATTTAGATAGAATATGACTAAAATATATCAAAACTGTTGACTTTGATAACTCATTTGCACATATATCCAGATATATATGTGCAAAACTTGAAAAAAATAATTTTCCATCTTAAACTTCTATGCATTTGTACACATTTGTCTTTATTTCTCTCTGATTCATTTATTCAAAAAGCTATTTATTTTTCTTAACTTTTATTTTCAGTTCAGGGGTACACAAGCAGGTTTGTTATACAGGTAAATCTGTGCCATAGGTGTGTGTTGTACAGAAATTTTTGTGACCCTGGTATTAAGCCTAGTATTTGTTATTATCCCTGATCCTCTCCCACCTCCCATCCTCCACCATCTGGTGGGCCCCAGTGTCTGTTTTTCTCCTCTATGTGTCCATGTTTTCTTATCATTTAGCTCCCACTTATAAGTGAGAACATGCAATATTTGGTTTTCTGTTCCTGTGTTAGTTTGCTAAGGATTATGGACTCCAGTTCCATTCATGTTCCTGCAAAGGACATGATATCACTCTTTTTATGGCTGCATAGTACTCTGTGGTGTATACGTACCATATTTTTGGTATCCAGGCTACCACTGATGGACATTTAGATGATTCCATGTCTTTGCTACTGTGAATGGTGCTTCAGTGAACATATATGTGCACATGTCTTCATGATAGAATGATTTATATTCCTTTGGGTTGCTGGGTTAAATGGTAGTTCTGTGTTTAGCTTTTTGAGAAATCACCACACTGCTTTCCACAGTGGTTGATCTAATTTACATTCCAACCAACTGTGTGTAAGCTCTCCTTTTTCTCTGCAACCTCAACAGCATCTGCTATTTTTTGCCTTTTTAACAGTAACCATTCTGACTGGTGTGAGATGGTATCTCATTGTGGTTTTGTTTCCATTTCTCTAATGATCAGTGATGCTGAGCTTTTTTTCATATGCTTGTTGGCCATATGTATGCCTTCTTTTTAAAAAAGTGTCTGTTTATGTTCTTTGCCCACTTTTTAACGGGGTTGTTTTTCCTTGTAAATTTGTTATAAAGAGTAGATACTCATCCTTTTTCAGGTGCACTGTTTGCAAAAAACTCTCCAACTTTCTAGGTTGTCTGTTTATGATAGTATCTTTTGCTGCGCCGAAGCTCTTTAGCTTAATTAGATCACATTTGTCAATTTTTCCTTTTGTTGTAATTGCAAAAAGATATTTATTAAGCATCTATGAATGCACTGTACTTGGTGAAATGGATATAGAGTTAAACAAGACATTTTTTAAAAAATTCCTTCCCCTTGGAGAGCTTACAGCCTACTTCAGTAAGAAAGATACTAAATAAGATGTATATTATTTACATGATAAGTTATTATGAAGAAAAATTAAGCCGTTGCCAACATAATTAAACATTTTGGAGGCTGGGGAGCCTTGACAACTTTAAATGATGTAAAAGGGTAATCCTCATGAGATGGTGACATTTGTGCAACTACTGGAAGAAGAAATCCAGATGGATAACAGAAGTAAACTCAAAATATTTGAAGAAGACAATGATTAGAATATTTGAGAAATGTCATCTGAGCCAACTATGGCTGGGCTGTGATAAGTAATGATAAAAATATAAGATCTTAGACATCTTGAAAGCTATCTTAAGAACCATGGCTTTAGGGTGAATGAGATTAGATATCACTGAAAAATTTCTGAGATGAAAAGCAACATAATCTTGTTTACATTTAACAAGAAAACTAGCTTTTCTGCAGAGGAGAGGGTAGACAAGGAAGACACAAGACCAGATTAAAAAGCTATTGAAGAAAGATAAATAGAAATGAATGGTGTTTTCAAACTGGGATGCCAATTGCGATATTAAAGAACAGAGTTCTGGTTATATATTTAAGGACATAAAATGATTTTATGATGGATTAGAATATGAAAAAGAATGAGTTAGTCATGACTCCAGGTTTAAGGTTTTTTTTTTTTTTTTTTTTTTTTTTTTGAAAGGAAGAGCTGTACATCATTCTGGAAATTTAAAATTTAAGGTAATAATTCAATGTCCAGGTAATATATTAGGTGAGGTTGAGATGGAAATACAGATTTGCACACTGTCATAGAATAAATGGAAACAGCAAGGGAATAAATACAGACTAAAATATGTGTAAGGACTAAACCTCTACAGTTAGGAGGGTGAGATATGTCAGGAGAATGAAAAGAGAAAATAGACAAGGATGGATCGGGGCAAAAAGAAAATCAAGAAAATGAGGTATTGTGAAAGCCAGATTATGAAAGTATTTCTAGGAGGAGAAATAGATTAATTTCATTAAATAATGGTGACAAAACAATTCAAGGATTAACAATTTTGCAAGTTAAAAGTCTTTGATAACTTTGATAATAATTCTTTCAGATTAATAGTGGAAACAATAATCTGATGGTAGTAGATTATGAGGGAAGACTTAATGACAAAAGAGCAATAAAACTCTATATTTCAGTTGTGTGATAAAATGAAACTTAAGAAGTAGATGATCAGGGAGAGACACTTAGAGAACAAGCTAGAATCAAGAAAAGGAGTTTTTTTTTTTTTTTTAATTAAGATAGGAGAAGCAACATATGATTGAATTTATGCTAATGATAATTTTTTTGGTAGAAAGAAAAAAGAGATGATGCAGGCACAAGCAGATAAAATTGCTGGAGTCATTACATAGTTCTAAATGAATGGTACCAAGTGCATAAAGAGTGGGTTTGCCCTTTTCTAGGAGCACTAAAGCTTATCCATATCAACTAGAGAGAAGGCAGAGTATTTAGTTAGATATGGGGATAAGTGATTAGATGATGTGGAGGGAACTTCTTGAAAATCCTCTTTATATTGCTGCAACTAAAATTTAAAAGAAGGCATGGAAGCTTTGAGGGATGAGGCTAGGGAAAGAAAACACTAAGTTTTTATTCAGGAGTATCAGAGAGTGAATGGACTGGAAGAAATATAATGAGTAATATTAGACCCATTTGAAAGTATTAGCAATGCATTTAAAATAAGAAAAGGTAACGGAATTACATGTTAACATCTAAGCATATTCAGTTTAACATGAATTGAACATGAGTTGCTGCATCGAGTAGGCAGAGTTGGATTCAAGAAGAATTGAGGTTGCCTAAATGAGTATAAAATAATGGGTCTAAGATATTCATGGTTTATTCTTGAGTGATTACAATGGCTGTCTGCCTATGCAATTCAAGCTGTTTAAGACAAAATGTGTAAATGTAGTAAAAGTTAAAATCAAGTCATAAGAGTAAACAATTATGGATCTAAAAAGGCATGGAGATTTTCCAGCTTCAACTATAATATGTAAACAATTAAAAGTCACTATTCCTGTCATTATGAGAAAACACTGGAAAAAGATAAAATAAATGACTTTTGTTGGATCAATCAAAGAACTGAGGTTGCAGGAAAAACTACCACGTCAAAATCTTTAGAGATTGGTGTATACTTAAAACCACAGAAGAGATTCGCCTACCTAGACAGAAACCTTGGAGTCATAAACCTTTGCAATAAAACAAAATTCCAAGGTAAGCCAAAAGACAAAACAGAATGGAAAAAAAAATCACAAAAACAAAACTCAAATATGGCACAGGTATTACAGTCATCAGAAACAGAATAAAAAATAATAAATAATGTCAAGTGATCTAATGAAAAGATGGACAATGTGGGAAAATGGATGGTGTAAACAGAGATGAAAAGTCTAATAGTTAAGAAGAAGTGCTAGAAAACAAAACAAAAATAATAATATAACAGAAATGAAGAACACATTCGATGAGTTATTCAGTACATTTGGCATAGCTAAGTAAATACTCAGTGAATATGACAATGTTTTAATAGAAACACTCCAACTGAAAGGTAAAAAGGAAAAGGAAGTAAAGAGAACACACACACACACACACACACACACCCTGAAGAGCAAACTAACAAACTATGAGACAATTTCAAAAGATAAAATGTATCCATAATTGAACACCACAAGGAAAAGATAATAAAGTAGTAATATTTAATGCAATGATAGCCAATAACTTTTCAAAAATATGACAAACCAAAAACACAAATTAAGAAAGATATCATCAGGCTGAATAAATATCAACAAACAAACAAGAAAACAAACCACACAAACACATGTATACCCCAAGGCATAACAAATTCAAAATGTAGAACTCCAAAGACAAAGAGGAAATCTTAAAAGAAGCCAGAGGGAAAAATAAAACCATACGAATAGAGGAAAAAAGATAAAATTTGCAACAGATTTCTCCAAGGAAAACATGTAAGAAAAAAAAATAGTGAAGTAATTTATACAAATTAATTTTAAAAATAAGCCAATTTTTAAAATGGGCAAAGGATATGAATACATATTTTTTCGAAAGAATTCATACAAATGGCCAAAATGTAGAAGAAAAAAAATGCTCAGCATCTATAATCATCAGGGAAATACAAATCAGAACCACAATAAAATATCACCTCACACGTATTTTGATGGCTATTTTCAAAATGTCAAATGAAAACAAGTGTTGGTAAAGGTATGGAAAAAAGGGAGCCCTTACTCTTTGTTGGTAGAAATGTATATTGGTATAGCCATTATAGAATACAATATGAACATTCCTCAAAAAGTTAAAAATATAACTAGTATATGATCAAGCAACTTCACTTCTGGTATATATCAAAAGCTAAATATAATTACTAACTCAAAGAGTTATCTGCATTATCATGTTAATTGCAGCATTATTTGTAATAGCCAACATATGACATATGGACATAAATTAAGTGCTAATAAACAAATGCATAAAGACAGTGTGTGTGTGTGTGTGTGTGTGTGTGTGTGTGTGTGTGTGTAATGGAATATAATTTTTCCTTAAAGAAAATCCTGACAATTGCAACATAAATAAACCTGATGGACATTATTTTAAGTGAAATAAACCAGGCACAAAAAGGCAACTACCGCATGATCTCACTTATATGTGAAATTTTCAAAAGTCAGACT